TGATTATAAAAACCACCTTAAGATGTAGGTAACATTTTTATCGAATAATAATGTTAATCAACATTAAGATTGTTTTATTCTTTTTATTTATCAAATTGATTTTTTTTTCTTTTAGATTAAAAGGTTGAGTATTATTTATTCCTTTAGACCCCTCTTCCAACGTCCATGGGAAGAGTGGGGATGGTCCTATTCTCCTCTGCCGGAAGCAGGCCTGGCTCACTCCGCGCGGTACATCCGATAATTACCTACAGCGAAGCGCCCCGCCGGCGGGTATTATATCAGTCGAGTGGCACGCGCGCGCCCGTCGGGACTTAATGTTTTGCCTTTAATAAATAATTTCTTTTGAATACAATTTATGATGTTTTAAGAATTTTATCGTTAAAATATTAACTATTACCTTTCCGTGTAGGTAAATGAAACGGAAGAGTAACATCGATATACCAAATTACGACAAGCTAGTTCTTTAACCGTAATGCATAGGTACCCCAACAATATTCAGTAAAAAATAAATTGTTGCCAAAGTACAGCGAGTAACATTAGATTAAGTTTGTGCAAAGCCAAATACAAATATGATTTTCGGGTGATGCCTCTCGTTCTAGGATGTAGCCGTTTCGTGTTTGCGTAGTAAGTAGGTAGGTATGATGTCATTCTTTCTTCTGTGATAGTAGGTATGTTTAATTTATTTGTCTTATGTTAAAATAGGTATGAATGAAGACATTGTATTAAAATAAGTACTTTTTTATCCTAAGTAGCTAGGTATATTTAAAATGTTATTTTACAAAGGTAAAATAACACTAATACTTACCTACATACGTACCTCATTACAAATACCTAAGTAGATTAATTCTATTTTTTTACTAGACAGCATAGCAACCCTAGCAGCGTAAGAAGAGTTCAGAGGCACGCGATAGAAAGAGACAAAACTTGTAGGTGAATAAAATTGTAGGTACGTAGTGCTGTGAGAGCTGAATTCCACTGTATCGCGTCGCAGCAAGACTCGCATTTATTTAAATCGTCTTGCGGAGTAATCCTTCTGTACCTGTACTATTACTTATTCTGTGCCGGAAGCCCGGAACAATGGAAATGTGGAATAAATTACAAAACCGACGCAACTGGTCCGTCAATAAGATTCAAATTAGCAAAACATGATTCTGGAACGTTCCGTACCACGCGAATATGGTTTAAAGAGTAAAAAAACAAACTGGCGGTAAATTATTGATAATGTGGTATCGTCATGACTTGCACTACTGTGGCGTAGACTTGTTTTAGACAAAAAATACATACGAGCATTAGAGAACTGTCCGTGACTGAGCGAAAACCGACTTTTGCTTAACATTCTTGATGACAACGGAACGCTAACATTGGGCGAAGGTCAAAAGAATTTGAGTGAATGACGCTGTAAATACTACATATTATGCAGTGTGTGTGTGTGTGAGTCAAGACGAGTGCGACGAGGCGAGGGGAGCAGAGCCGCAGTGTATCAACACAGTGATAGGATAGTCACTGTTCAGTGCAAAGTTCAGTGTTTCTTATTCATTTTGCCGGCCGGTCACCGGTATCACCATCAATTTTTTCAACTAAGTTCCTTTTAAACGGGATTTCTAATATCTACTTACGTTCCAGTTGAACAGGTAAGATCAGAAACTAAGATTTTTCTTTTCAAATGTAAAGTAGGTAGATATTACAAACACTTTGTTGAATTCCTAATTGACTCTCCGCATACACAAGGCATTCGACACATGATTATGCACATAAAAAGGATCTTGTTATGAAGTTTCATCATTGAATAGATAGAACATTGTGTATAACAAATCGAATATAGGAAGAAATCGAAATATCTCGTTTGTTCGATAAGGCAAAGAAAAAATAATTTTATCCTCGCTAACCAGCGGCTGCTGGCACTCATGTTTATCTTTGGAACCATTATTATTGTTATCTTTATTATTTTTCTTTAAACCGAAGTTGTAAAAAAGAATCATGACTAGAATCTTTGGAACCATTATTATTGTTATCTTTATTATTTTTCTTTAAACCGAAGTTGTAAAAAAGAATCATGACTAGATCATTATCAATAACGTCAACAAATCGAAGATACCAACGAACTGTTTTTATTTTAAGGAGTCTTACTTAACTAAGTAGCCTATTTATTGGTGAAAATGTGGTGAAAGTAAAAAAATCACATACCTTCTGAAACTTACCTAGCGTGTTTATTTTTGTTACTATTTTGCATTAGTTGGTGATCCACTGTAGGTATGTGTTTTCTTAAATCCCAAGTGAATTAAATTATTGATCAATACCTAACAACAATGTTTCTTTTTTGCAGATAAAAAGAATAACAAAACGGAACCATGGTTAAGGCGAGGAAGTATGTCGTCAAGAAACACTTCCAAGGAGTTCCCAAGAGGGATGACTTCGAAATAGTGGAGCAGGAATTGCCGCCACTGAAGGATGGGGAGATCCTGGTCAAGGCGGAATGGATTAGCGTGGACCCATACCTTCGCGCTTACAACGCACGCACACCTATCCCCTACGACCAGTTCAGCTTCCAAGTCGCGGTCGTCACAGAGAGCAAGAACCCCAACTATACAGTGGGTACGAGAGTAGTTTCCCACAAAGGCTGGCGCGACTACACCATTTTCAACCCTACCGTGAAGACAGACGACAAGAACGCCAGCATGTACAAACTACCCGACCTGCACGGCTTGTCTCCGTCATTAGGCGTGGGAGCTGTTGGCATGCCTGGAGCTACTGCGTACTTCGGATTCCTGGAGATCTGCAAGCCCAAAGCTGGAGAAACGGTAGTCGTGACTGGCGCAGCGGGCGCTGTAGGCTCCATTGTTGGGCAGATCGCAAAGATTAAGGGCTGCAGAGTAATTGGATTCGCCGGCTCCGACGACAAAGTGCAATGGCTCGAGAAGGAGCTTGGTTTCGACAAAGCATTAAACTACAAAACTGTCGACATTTTGAAGTCTTTAAAAGAAGCCGCCCCGAAAGGCGTCGATTGTTACTTCGACAATGTTGGGGGAGAGATCAGCAGCTTGATTCTAAGCCAGATGAATGATTACGGAAGAGTGTCGGTTTGTGGAAGCATCAGCGCGTACAATGAAGATCCCAGCAAGATGCCAAAGGCGACTATTATTCAGCCATCTTTGGTGTTCAAACAATTGAAGGTGGAAGGTTTCTTGGTGTCGCGTTGGGACGGTCGATGGCCGGAGGCGTTCGCTGAACTCGTCAATTGGATCAAGAGTGGAAAACTCAAAGCTCGGGAGCACGTTACTGAAGGATTCGACAAATTGTACGACGCCTTCACAGGAATGTTGGCCGGAGAAAACAGCGGCAAAGCAGTGGTAAAAGTCTGATAGTATTTTTATATACCTTCATGCATTTGGTTCGGTTTCAGATAAAAAATATATTTTTAATAACTATGTTTACTCATATATTATATTATAATGTTTATCTAAATACCTACCGGACTTTTAAACTTGACCTTCCTCATAACTAAACAACAAAAAGATTCGTTAATCGAAGGTCATGCCTGGGTATATCTTATCAGATTAATAATGTCTATGTAGTTATCTGTATACCTCACACATAATAAAGGATATTAGGTCAAAAACTTACCACATTTGATGAATTCCATATCAAGAGACAGCTTATTAATATGACTAATGTGTCGGAGGCTTCTAAGCACCACATTATTCCTAAAAAAAATTAAAACCATTTTAGAACATAGGTAGAAGTACTCAAAACAATTTCATTATTCATACTATCTTTCTTACTCATCCTCATCATCCTAGTATGTTAACAAGAGCGAGAGAGGACACTGTGTCCGTATTTTAGGATGTACCTATCATCTCTCTCTCACACAGCGAGATGCTAGCACGAGTAACAGCGACAAATACACTTACTGGAAACATCAATGTCGTCAATATACAGCTTATCGTCTTTGCTCATCAGCATGAAGTGAAGATCGTTCGGGAGCGGTTCATCATCAAACTTGACCACTTCGAATTTGACGTTGCAAGTTAGACCCATGATCAGACATACGGCCGCCATGAAGCTGGCTGATAGAGTAGCCCGTGAGGCCTTAGCGTGGAGATTTTCTGCCCTGGCGAAGGTCTTTCGCCGAAGATACTCCAAGCTGGTATCGATGTAGTCGATCAACGCCCCAATGATTGGCACCCTAGATTTGGAATAAGTCATATGCTTGGGCAAGTTCTGGGGTTCTCCGCTAGCCATGTTCTTAATAATGGTGGTTTGAAACTATTTATTAATTCTCTGAAGAGATTTTTTGAGTGATTTCCGAAAAATGATGTAAATCTTTGACAGAAACGTTGACTTGACAATTCTTAACTTGACAGAGTATTTTTTCCATTTTCTTCTTGGAGGCTTTCTTTCACCGTCATACTCAAACACTATGGTTCAGGTTTGATTTCAAAAGAGGATAGAAATAGAACTCTCTCTTTCATGAACGTGACCTACCATGGCTATTTTCTTATCCTTTCGACTACATTGCTGATGTTGTAGTGACTACATACAACTAGGTAGTAAGTTGTAGTCACTACAACATCAACAATATTTTCAAATAAAACATCATATCAAAAATTAAACTTACTTATATTTAAAAATAAGATTTAAAGTTAAGATTACATTATTTAGTAACAGAAACAATTCTAGGATGCTAGAAAGGCAATTTTGGGCGCCTTTCAATACTATAGTATTCGCTTCTTACGCGAACAATTTGACCAGCGGTTCTCAACCTGTAAATATTAACCCTGGGGGCTTCATATTGCAGTCGGGTCTATAGATTTAGCGCTTAATTGAATCAATGCCTGGGGTATGGGAGAGCGGCACGGGAGGGTGTTCTTGTGACGTCAAATGTCAGCCAGATTTCCGTGGGTCTAGACAAATGCAAATTATAATCGCAAACCAGTCGAAAAGTAGTCGAAAAGCCCCTTTTTTGTATGGAGTTTTGACGGATTCGATTTTCGATTCGATCAAAAAGTGCGTTTTGTCTAGGGGGGCAGGTGTGCTTCAGACTTGTATGCACGTATGTTCTGTCAGGTCATATGTTACTATATGACACCCTTCCCGTACCACCCCCCATACCTCAAGCACTGACTGAATTATGCGTAAGTAGACCTACATATATTGCAATATGAAACGTATCGTATACCTATGCCCTGCACAGCTATTCCAAAGGTATACAAATATGTACTACATTTTATCTTTCAAAAGAACATCGTTGAGAACCGCTGTAATAAAATCCATTGTACGCAGCTTGTGATCTTTAGGTATTTTAATTTAGTCTATCATTATTTAACCTAGTTGTTAAATTGTAATCGTAACTAATAACAGGTGTAAAAAAACGAATAACCCTCGAAATGTAAGAAAATAAAAAACTAGAAATACTTTCTACTGGCAAAACATAATTCTATGACGTTATTATTATGTTTTGTAGATTCAATTACAATTAATTATTACTTTTAACTTTAGACACAGGGGTTAAGACTACTATGAAGTATTTTGTGGAGATTACATAAACCTGCAATTAACTACAATCCAAAGTTGAAGGTAACCACAGGTTTTCGAAATAAACGCAGAAACTGCTACATTTTGTCCCAATGTTGGGACATTCAGGATATTTGGTAAAAATAATTTAACTTTCTAATTCGAAGTTCAAATAACATTCACGTTTACCTATATTTAATTAAATAACCGGCACTAAATAACTCAGTCTGTTCATATTTTGTGCCAATGACACATTTTTTCTTTAAAAATTAACTTTCATCAAACAATATAAAAAGATAAACCTGTGCTCGTCAACTCATACCCAAAATTGGTATGAATATCTAATTTTTACGGCTATTCGGTAATCTGTGATGATTTTACTTTAACATCAAAATAAGAAGTATTTTACACTTTTCAATTCATCGCATAAAATAAAACAATATAGCACTCGTATGGATGCAATAGAAATCTTAAGCTTGAATAACAGTCTGTTGACGCCCATCGTTAGTTAGGCCGCAAAAACTATAGTAATTTTAAACATTATAAGCATAGAATTTTATAAAAGGTTTTCAATAACTCCTAACCAAATTTAAACATTTATCATGCTTATTGCTTACGATGTATCACTTTTCCAGACAGGCGCCTAACAATAAAATCGGTATGTTACCCATTGAGATTATCTACAAAAGTACGAATTCACAAATCACCGTTCACTGCACACAGGTCTCTGTCATATTGATAAACTTGTATAATTCACGTGTTGAGTTTCTTCGGGGCGGACGCGCCTGCGTCACCCTCGCTGGATTTGCGCTTGCGTTTGATGAGATGGGAGATGTCCGATGCGGGCGCGGCCCTGGCGGTACTAGCACTGGCACTGGCAATTGTACTGGAACTAGAGCCGGCGGAACTGGACGCGCCGTCTCCATTGGAGGGGCAGAGCGTTTCTCTCACCCTTTTTATCGTCTGAAAAGTTATGGCAGTGGTTGAAACCTGAAGGCAATAAGCTAGCGCAGCGATGCTCAACTTTTTATACATACATTTTCTACGCCATGTAAGAGTATTTTTCGAGAAGCGTCACTTTCCCGACACATTTCTTTATTTGGTCGGAGGGGATAGGCCACATGTTGAGTATCACTGGACTAGCGTATTTTATAGATACCAAAGGGTATTTCGTTTGTTCATGGATTCTGGTTGACTAAAAATTCATAATCGGATTCGAACTGTAAAATCATTCTTACTTGGAAATGTATTCAATGGGAAAACTTCGAATTTTTTGTCTAACAAACGTTGGTTATATTATGTAGGTATGTATTTACTTATCTGGTACTTAGCAACACCATCATAGTGTAATACTTATAAAACCACGAAAAGATCTTTCATGCTTTCAGAAGTAGCAAGGAGCTACAATTTTTTTTTAAGAGTTATTAATAGAAAGAATCATCATCATCACTGACATCAATTAGCATGTTAAATCTGCATTAAAACAAATGGAATAACTACCATTTATAGCAACAGATCATCTCATTCACACTAATTTCATCATGGGTGTTTGACATCAATGGCCATGACTAGAACACAACAAATAAAATACAATTTAACCACATGGCCATTAATGTAAAGGGTTTCATCTGAAATAACACAAGTTGTAATTTTAAAACAAATTTATTCAAAAATCACATAAAACATGATACAAAATGGCCGTGTGGTCAAAAAGTTCACCAAAAAGCATTGAAATTCTTACAAACTATGAGTAAACTGGCACGAGATTCTAAGGCACTTATACGATAAAACTTAATAAAACAATACTAACCAAAACAGTTCAAAATTACTAATTAAAAATCGCAAAATATCACATTGAATTGATGATTAGAATTTTGGCACGAAATTGAGGAACTTGTTAAAACTTACGCTTAAAATTATGGAATGTATTTTAATGCAATGAGCAGTCTTTTTTCAATCAGTCTTAAAATTAAATTACTATTATGAGTATAATTATTATTATCATGTTACATGTCTACGAGTATTGTAAATGTTGACTGAGGCACCATTTGTAAGGTTAAAAATTGTGATGAGTTCGGGAACAAATGCAATGTTATAGATCGTTGCATCCACGAAGACGCGCCCACCAATTTTTGGGAGTTTGATCCGAGCAATCCGAGCGTCATTATTGTAGTGTGCGTGTGCACTCATAGATAAATGGCAATGCCAGTTTTTGTATGGAAGGTGGCGCCTTTTTTTTTTCGCGCGGCCATCGATCAAACTTAGTTTTTTGATTACAAAATAGTGTTATAAACCCAACTTACTATGGCATGTATACCTCTAAACTCAGTCTGAACTGAGTTACGAGCATTAGAAGTTTGATGATTTCACATACTAGATTTGCTTTTTGCGCGCATGTTTTGTAAGAAATTGCAAAAATAATATTGCGCTATTTTTTTATTTCGCTAATTCTGTTCCATACTGATGTCTGGAGCCTTTAATGGATGGTATTGTTTGTTTACACATACAATGTCACTATTTTGTTGCAATTTCTTACAAAACTTGCGCGCAAAAAGCAAATCTAGTATGTAAAATCATTAAACTTCTAATGCTCGTAACTCAGTTCAGACTGAGTTTAGAGGTATACATGTCATAGTAAGTTTGGTTTATTACACTATTTTGTAATCAAAAAACAAGATTTCGTCGATGGCCGCGCGAAAAAAAAAGACGCCAATTTCCGGCACTGTCTTTTAGCGTGTACCGATAACACTCAACATTCGTGGAAGAACATCGGCGCGTCTTCGTGGATGAAACGATCTATAACAGCTGCAACTTTTGTCTCCCTAACATACGCATTCTACGTTCCTATTCTTCTCTTTCAGGATCATATCCCTCAACATCTTTCTAGTTTCCTCGAGGCACTCACACGGTCTTACCTCTGCTTTGTAGTCCATCATGTCTTGGATCTTCTCCTGTATTTCTGGCAGTAACTCCTTTAACTCCTTGATTTCACCTTCCACAGAGTATTGGGGGTCTGCCGTGGTGTACTTCTTGACGGTAGCATCGTCTGTGGCGGAAGCTGGATTCTCTAGGGTCTTAATTCTGGTTTCTAGAATGTTCGCCGCGTTCTTGAAGTGGGTGATCGCGTCTTCGAAGTTTGAAGCCAGGGAGTTGGCGAGCCCTGAAAAAACGAAACAATAAGATGTATTTTCGGAGACATCAGAATACTTTTTTAATGTCTTATGTCCCCTAGAAGGGGCAGATTACGAAAAATCAAAATACTACTGGAAAAGTTTAATCTAGAAGTTAACTTACCAATTTGATAGTGCGTTTCTGCAATGCGCCTGTCGTCGCTACCGTATAGTTCCTTCTGGAGCTCCAGACAGCTTTCTGAAATGTAAAAAAATAAAATTAGACCTAGGTAAAAAAAAACTAACGAAACACGACCCGAAAGTAAGTGAACGGTGATACAGGCTTTATGTAACAACTAAAGACACAATCCAGACACATACTCCTTAGAACTTAGCTTTCAAAGGAATTAATTATTCTGATTAATGTCGTTGCGGGTCCAATGACAGTTTAACTTTCCCCGGGACAAAGTTGACCTTCACTGGTTGGGTTTTTATTGGCGGTCAAGCTGTAGATCCTGGCTACACAGGAGTTGCAGCGGTGGGAACAAGTAAATAATAATAATAAATAAATAGAAGCGCAGTGTAAAATTCATGGACATTTTACACTGCGCTTCTAGTCCCAAACTAAGCAAAGCTTGTACTATGGGTACTAGACAACGGATATAAACATACTTAAGGCCGGGTAGCAGTGAAAATGGCGAAAATGAGGTTTTCATTTTTGATTTTTGAGGTACTAAACAGTAAAATTAAAGGCTAAGATTTTATTTGGGCATAGTTGAGGATATTTTCTAGGGCTATTAACGGATGGAAACACGATTTGATGAAGTTGACTCGATAGAATAAATTCCCAAAGTTACCTCTATTCGTTTTCTATTTATGGTTTTATTTTTTAAATAAGCGATTTGAGATTCTGAATCTTTTACTAAACTAAAGTTCAGAAATAACTTGAGGGCTTTTAACGGATGAANCAGGCTCGGCGCTTGTCGCTCGAAGTAAATAAAAGGGCGCGCCGTGTTACAACTACAGACATGTGGAAATTCTATCAAAACGTAACTTGAAGCAATATGTAAAGTACTCATGCCGTTTCAATGTGCAAACGTGACGAAACTTACTTGATGTTTAATATTATTATGATATGACTTTTGTTGTGGTGTGTGGTTGCGTGTGGTTTTATTTAATGGTGTTGGTGGTGATCGGCATGCGTTAGCTTATTACCGGCGCTCGACACTTGGATACCAGGTGAGTCCTTTATTTTGAATAGCTTTCCGCCCGCGGCTTCGCCCGCGTGGATTTTTGTCTGTCACAGAAAAACTTTATCGCGCGCGTCCCTGTTTCAAAAACCGGGATAAAAACTATCCTATGTTCTTTCCCGGGACTCAAACTATCTCTATGCCAAATTTCATCAAAATCGGTTGCGAGGTTTAAGCGGGAAAGCGTAACAGACAGACAGACAGACAGACAGACAGAGTTACTTTCGCATTTATAATATTAGTTGGGATTGTGAACTCTAGCACAAGCAAAACAGGGTTCAATCCGACGAAGCGAGCCGCGGCGAGGAGCGAAGCGACGAAGCGAGCCTGCGGCGAGCGTTCGGATTGAACACTGTTTTGCTTGTGCTAGAGTTCCCAATTCATTTACTACTAATATGGTACTACTGATGTACCTGTTGTCCCAGCATTCAAATTTTTTTTTTTTAGTGAAAATCGTATTAACGTCTAAAAAAAAAGGTCGCTATTCTAAGGCGAATTAATTGGAATTAATTCATGTTAATCGTGTAGAAATCTCTACGCCAGACGATAAAATATGAATTAGGACTAAATATCAAACAAAGTTCAAGAAACAAAAAATAGGTTTATGTCATGTACTGAAACCAAAGCGTCTAACATTTTCTGAGACAATATTAAACCAAGCTCCTAATCCGTGTCTTTATTCAGACACCTTGATTCAGTCAGCTTCAGTATTATGTGATGATTGTTTTTTTTTTTCCTGTGGCAACACTACCGCTAACAGCTGATTTGAACTTGTCCCAATTTATTTACTGATTTTTATTTAATTTAATATCATAAAAGGTCTCTAAACTCATCACTGTTACTGTTTTATGTAATTACTAGCTGTGCCCGCGACTTCGTCCGCGTGGAATAATGACTTTGGGTAGGCACTTTTAATAATTTAGTCTAATTATTTAACAAATAGCTTTTGCCCGCGACTTCGTCCGTGGAGAAGTCGAAAACGTTCTCATACGATTATTTTGAAATGTTATAACGTTATTATCTAAATGTTTAAATACTTTTAAAATATAAAAATCAGGTCAGTGCAGCTCGGCCTTTGATCCGGTGAAAGTTACTCGGTGGTATTATTTTTTTACAACGAAATCGAAAACTACACCTACCGCAGTATTATTGGTAAACTTTTTTTATATTTTCCTACGGGTGCTAGAATCACCAAGCTTCCAGCATGCCACTGGCCGTGGGAGAAGGAGCTTTTCCTCAAGACTACTCCCACTACCTCAAGGGCCTCCGCCAAAACTCTCGCGCGAAAATGAGTTTATGTANTTGTGAGTGTGACGCTTGAAGGGAAGGAAGTCGACCTAACCTAACCAACTGCGTATTTCTATACTATGTAGCTGGAAATTGTGGCGGGAGCTCTTTGGCGCGCTGTCTTCGGCGAAGAATTGCGCGCGCAGATTTTGACAGCGCGAAATACCTACTTTAGCAGAAATACCAAGCCTTAATATGTTCATGCACACAAATGTTTGTACTGTGCGGGAATCGAACCCGCAACCTCCGGAATAGTAGTCCGTTTCGAACCACTACACCAAACGGCCGACGAGTAGTGGGAATAGTCATTTTTTTATGGCAACGCTATGCCTTTTGGCTGAAACGAACGAACGAATTAGCAGAATGAATACATACGCATGTCAATGACGGCCTTGTCATAAGTCTCGCTCTCGAGCGCCACCTCGCCGAGCGCGAGATGCACGTCGGCCAGCAAGGCGCGCGCCGCCGTCCCGCTGTCGGCCTGTGCGCGACGCTGTAGGATACTGCGGGCTAGGTCTGCGGACAACATTCAACGTGAAAAACATTTACGCCCGATTCCCATATTCAATCCTTGTCCAAATCCGGATTACAACTGTCAAATTGAATTCAGTTTTAGATTATATTTCCAAAATTTTCGATGCATTTACACTTTAATATTGTTTAAATAGTCTTATAAACAATATAAAAATGTAAAAACATCAAAAACCGCAGTTATTTTGGCCAAAAACATATTAAAATTTGACAGTTGACAATCCAAATCCAAAATTTGGATTAGGATTGAATATAGAAATCCAGCATTAGTCGAAAAACAAGCGCTCCTGCACACGACGACGCCACCGCGCCGCCGCCGCGCCTCTACACTGTTCATACGCGCCGAGTAAAGCCCGCCGCCGCGCCGCCACCGCGCGTCAAAGCATAATTTCGCGTGCGGCGGGAACGACGGGCTTCACGCGGCGCGTATAAACAGTGCAAAGACGCTGTTTCTGACGTAGTTAGATAAAAAAGGTATTTCTAAGTCTAAAAGATACCACCATGCCCTCAATGTGCATTTCATGTTCACATACATGAGTCAGAATTCACGAAAGCAGAAGAAAAAAGTGGTATGCCCCATCACTTTCCCGGCCCACCACTTTCTTCTCTGATTTCATAAAATATAATAAATTGTAGACTGACTTTTGTTACTAGTTTTTGACTAGTGACTTTTATATTTTACACATAAATGTAAGTATGTGTAACAGAATACTTTTAATTCACAACTACACACATTAAATTCATTTATTGAAATGTTCAGTAGATTATATGTTCCAATCAGTAGACCGAGGTTTATTTATTTATTTATTTATTTATACTTCAATGCCAAAAATATTAACATTAGGCGAACTTAATGCCATAAGGCATTCTCATCCAGTTTACCTTTGGGTTATGCAGAAAAATTAGTTTGGCGGTATAACAAAAAAAAAAAAAATTAAATAAAACAAAGCGACGGCAAAACAAATAAGCTACATATACACATACATAAATAATATATAAAATAATATAATAAATAAATACATACTAAGATTACTTAAAACTTACCCAGCATCTCCCAAGCTAACTGCAGATTATCCACATCATCTTCATCCAAATTCACTTCAGACTCATCATTCACATCACCATTTGTTGTTCCCTGTACAAAAAAAACAGCTATTAATCACCAATTAATAAGTATGGACTGCAATCTACTCCAAGAAAAATATTTTGATTAGCTCAAAGACCTTACTCATAAGGCACTTATGACTCAAACACATTTAGCACTAACATCAAATGTTTTGATTGCTCGACATCATATTATTATTATGGATGATGGAGCAATCTGTATCTTAACAAAATTAACAGCAACTAATTTGACAATAAATTATAAATAACTTGAAAAAGTCTAACTGCTTAAGGTGGGAATTGAACCCATGACCTTTCGCTTCCCACCTTAGGTACTTCGAGTTTGTTCAAGTTATTTATAATTTTCAAATTAGTTTGAGATGCAACTCTTAACGCAAAAAAAATTAATAACTAACAGCAAATACTTAAGAAAAACAAAACAATGAATAATAAAATCATTACCGGCTCCTCATTGTCGCCAGAATCAGCAGCGGCCTTGTTACTGCCAGGTTTGCTGCTTCCAGGCTCATCGTCCTTGGTGGTAGATTCGGGCTCATTCTTCTCCATTTCTTCGTCTGCAACTTCCTTCTTTTCCGCTTCCTCACTAGCTGCCTCATTCATCTCTGCGTCTTCACCGTTTTGTTCGTCATCACCATTTTCTTCTAGATATAATAGAATAGCTTTTAGTATCATATCTGTTTTATTGTTGTAATAAAGTAAAATACCTACTCAAGATAAAGACTGAATTTGAGTGGAACTACGATGGTGAAAACTGAGTGAAATTGTGTTAGTTTTGAAATATAATATTTGTTACAGGGCAAGCTATAATGATGTACATAAATTTAGTTACAAGAAAATGAATTTGTAAATAATTATTTATTAAAATTTTATTTTATTACCTTCATTGTCATCATCATTCTCATCAGCATTCCCGGTTCCTGGCATGCCATCGCCAAGAACACCACTTTCCTCTCTTGATAATCCTAATAGGGATTTGCCGTACCTAAAATATACAAACAAATGTTGAAAATAGCTTCACATTGCCAACACATAGGCGATCATTATGAGAAAAACAGTACCTCTTCAATTATTTTTTGTCTAATGACCTGTGACTGTCTATTGTTAGACATATTTAAGATACTAGTCTATTATGAGCTATCCAAGTAGGTGATATCTAAGAAACAGAGTAGCAAACAGGTTTTTTCAGATTCACTACAAATAAGACTGACTATTGAGACTGTGGGTGTCTATGGGCAACGGTATTCATTTACCATCAGGTGATCCGTTTGCTTGTTTGCCTCCTGTCACATAAAAAAAATGTTTTTGATAAATAAACAGTTGAGACATACCACAAATAAGCTTCAGCACACTGATCAGCCGTATCTCCGTGTTCCTTCGCGAGAAGTTCACACGCTTTGGCCAAGGCCTCGGCGGCCGCACTGAAGTCTCTCACAGCAAGGTTCCTGCGACCTGTGCTCAGCAGCTCGGTCGCTGACGATGTGCTCACTTCTGCGGTGTCAGCCATCTAGACAATGAAAGAAAATAATAAAAAATACGTTGGTCAGAGATTCAGAGCACATTTAGAGGTTATAGAAGAAACCTACTGCTTGAACGTAAAGGCAAACTATTCAAAACTGTAACCGTATCACTGCTATGTTAAAAAGTTACAAAATTATGATGAATAGTGAGAGTAAATCGAAATTGAAAACGTGACTTGCAGCCGACGTAACGGTCATTTTGGCGAACAAAAGAAACAGGAACTCGCGTACTGTGCCACGTGCAGTTAAGTTTAGAAGAAACTGTTAGCGATTACAATGACAATATAATAATATTTAAAACTCAAAAGTGGATAAAAAGCTGTAAAATCTTAATTCTCAACAATTGAAATGCAGTTACGAGTTCGACACGTCGGCTCATATAATTATTTATCTACCGCAATTAACATAATATTCTTTGTACTTACATTTGTTTCGAATTAAATTAAGTTAATTATTTCCAGTTTTTGATTAAAAATTAATACTAAACTGTGTAGAACTGAGAAATTCCCTCCTTTTTGCGCTAAAAAATAATTCTGTGAATTTCTGTGATGAACTTTCGTTTTTTTTTTTTTTTTTTTTTTTTTTTTTTTTTTTTTTTTGTTTTATTTTTTTTTTTTTTTTTTTTTTTTTTTTTTTTTTTCTTTTTTGGCTTTACACGGTTTGTGTGTTGCCATTCGTCGAGTAAAAACGGGGAAACAGTTAAGGAAAGAAAAATACGGAACGGAAGGATCGGAAGGAGAGAAGAAAGTGATCAGGAGAGCGGATTGAGGTAGGATAAAATGACCATATTAATATACTGTAATTTACAATAAATTGAATACTATATACATAATCTTTTTTTTTTTTTTTTAAACCATCCAGAAAGCTAGACCTGTCGTACAAAGAGCAAGAGAAAAATATATGATTTACATCAGCAATATCAACCCCACACTCACACATTGGGTCACTCACGATACGAAGTCTAGCAAGGTGAGCAGGAGTGCATGTGTGACCAAGCCTTAAGCGTATTAAAATAGACGTTATTGTCTTGCTAAACTTCGCATTATGATACCACGGTTTCACAGGTATATTAGGTTGTATCTTTACATAAAATTTACCTTTGGTTTGACATGATAATTCCCAATTAGTAATCCACTTTTCCATTTGATGTATTTTAGGCAATGACAGAAGATCATGAGGATAGTTTTTATAGGGAAATAAATCACCACACTGTACCGCATCATTCGCTAAACGGTCTGATATTTCGTTTCCTGTTATTCCCTTGTGGCCAGGGATCCAAGCAAAGTTCAAAACAAGTCCATTATTAAAGCA